AGGAGCAACTCGTCTCAGCATGGCAGGGCAGTTCCAGGGTCCCAGATGAGTGGAGTCCCAGGAGGTCCAAGAAGCTGGAGGAAAGCCAGTCATGAGCAACTGGCTCCAAGAGGTGGGGATCCCCCTGAGCTATATTGGAGTTTCCTCTGGCTCTGGAACCAGGAGTCTCAATACCAACCTAGTGGGTTGCAGGATTTTTACAGTCGTTATCTTCTGTCATCTCCACTAAAACATTGCCGGGAAAGACTTATCTCCAGGTTAGAGATGACAAAGTTGAGCCTAGAAGTGTGTAGAAACTTCCTCAGCTCTTCAGCACAGCAATGAGGTCAGGACACTCATCCTTCCTGTTTCCTCAGCTCTCATCTACACCTAATGATGAACAGAGTAGGTGCAATCCTTGCAGTACCATGAGTGCTGAGATTGTCATCACTGTCCCTTTCCTTTCCCCAGGAACCTGCCCACCATGATTTCCCCCATTATAACTCTAACTCTTCTCAATAATATACAATTTCCACCTGGCCCACAAGATATATACTTATTTACCTAAATCTACTTCCTTTCCTAAAAGAAGTTAAGAAAGGAATCCTCAGTGGGTGTCTGTCTCGACCCACAGAACAGTCGAACAGGTTTCCTGAGGGAAGAAGTGAGAGATGGGGTGAGCAGCGCGGAGATGGCGCAGTGTTATAGCAAAGGGACGACACAGTGTTACAACTCTTCAGGGTCATCCGTTAATTGTGGGCCAGGGATAGTGGTTATATACATGTTGGTGGGTGGTGATTGGTTGTTCTATATGTAAATGAAGGATTGTAGAAGGTGGGTTATGATTGGTTGCTTTTGTGGACCAATCATGAGTTTCCGGATATGCAAATCTGAGGGATTCTAAGCTCAGCAATCAGTGAGTGCTATGGGAAGTGGCCAGTCAGAGTACGGTTTTGAAGATGAGGTTTTGAAGGGGAGACTATCATGACCTTTGTCATTGTGTAACTGTTTGGTTTCTGAGGGCTTCTAAGATGGCAATAGTAAGAGTCTCATGAAAATGGCCTCGACAGACTCACTGGTGCTCAGCCTCCCACAAGTTCTCAGGTCCACAGTGGACTGCACTAGGGCTAAGTTTTGCCAGTCCTGTCTGCTAAGAGTGAGAATGGGGAGTCATTTTGGGAGTAGACCTTGTTCCTCTCCAATGGCAGCAGATCCTGGGAAATTCTCTTCCTGTTTTAAGGCTAGTTTAATGTTGAGGAGTTGGGGCACAGCCATGACCACAGGTCCTCTTTGGCCTGGGGCTCCCCAGTTGGGAATTATCAAGATCCTAAAATAGAGAGAAAGGACCAGTGCAGTGAGCTCAGAGCCCAGGCAGGGAGGAAGTATAACTTCTGGCAGGCCAGTGGTATTGTGTGGACAGACCATGAGTAACTCCTCCCCTTAGAGCTGCTTACTCTCCCTGGCTTCTGTTTCAAAATCTAGAAACAACTTACTGTCCCACACCATCACAGGCCCTTCCCCTTGTATCACGTGATGCAGAGCTTTCCTTCTCTCTGTGGAGTACAGTGTGGGCTCTCTCAGCACAGACTCCTGGCACAAACAGGCTCCTTAGGTCTTCAGGATGCCTGTCCCTGCCTCTGGACCCCACCTTGCTCCTTCTTTCCTGTTGCTGATGCTACTGCTGGGACTCTCAGGTGAGTTTCTTCTAGGGACAGAGTCCTCTCTCCCTGTCCCAGGAGTCACCCCTGACCCTGGAGTATCAGGAGCTTCAGATAAACACAGGTGCTGCCAAGGACTGGGCACTTCCTGAGGGCATAAAGTCAGGGACCCGAGTGTTTTCTCTGTGGATCCCTCACCTGTAGCTGGTACTGAAGGCATCAAATCAGTGGTGCTTCTACTAGCAATAGCATGTACTTTCCTCTTGGCAATATTCCTGCT